ACCAGACTAAAAACAAATTCTCAACATAGTTTGAATATTAAAAAAAAATAGATTGCTATATTAACGGATGCATCTTGTACTATGGGGTTAATTTTTTAGAGATTGCATGTCATCATTGTAACATTCTAAAGTTTAAACCCAATTCTATCGCAATTAATTTTGTTGCAAATCCACAGCGAACTAGGATTTGCGGTGGATTTCTCTTATTTTGCAGCACACTGCAAAAAGATGAAATTTCAGTATTTGTGGGTTATAATTAAATAAAGGCAATGCACAAGAGTATGCATGTTTTAGAGGAGTTAAGTTAATGTGCCACATATTAAAATTATAGGAGAGAATAATTAAGCATATGTAATAAAGGGATGTTAATGTTTCTAAAAATTAGTTTGGATTCATATTGGGTACATATACTATGCTATATATATTTTTTAGTTATTTGATAGATAAGTATAATGAGAGTAAGGAGGATATATATAATATATTTAGTGATTATATGAGAGAGGTCTAGAAAAGAAAGGATTTAATAATGCTTATATTCAATTTATTAAGGGTATATATATACATGAGTTTTTACTTATGTTCAAACATAAGAAGATTTAGCCAATTATTCTTTTTTTTTAATTGGATTACATCAATGATCTACTTTAAGTGCATAGTCATGGATGTTCTTATGAGACATTTGCAAGAGATGTACTTTGGTGTATGCATTTTATTGATGATATTCTTCTTGTTGATAAAACTAGTGTAGGATTTTTTTAGGGGAAATTTTATTTCATCAAAGTAAAAAGGTATAAAGTCCTTAATGAGAACAAAATCACTAACTCTTAGTGAGATACATAAAAAAAAAACCCAAAGAGTAATAATCCCTGCCTAAGAGCCTAAAAAGGATCAATAGCGTACTAAGGATCAAAGAGCTATAATCAAAATAAATGAAAACATGACGAGCCAAAGATCCCAACCTAGTTAAAAATAGCATAAAAAGATGTTTACAAGAAGTTAAAACCCAAAAAATTCAAAAGCTCGAAGCTCAGATAAACTTGAAGGACCATAAGGTAGCACATGAGATGCATGCAAAAGAATTAAAAGGCATAAAAGATAGCCACATACCATAAAGAACCAAAAAAACATACTAATCAAAATAATAATCCAATAGCAACATCCCTCCGTTAGAACTTATCAACCATCAAGCTGACTTAGTACATATCTATTGAGCACCATCAACAACTGCACAAAGAAAAGTTAAAAGAGAATGAAAAGAACACACAACCAAAAATATAGGAAATAAGAGGACTCTTCATAGATAACACATATGTTACCTAAGTCACAACCAAACTCTACCGTAATGATTAAAAGACTAGCAATATGAGAGCCACATCCATAAATCAAAAGAACCTTGCCCAGTGAAACAACCAACCTCGAACTGAACCAGACCAACAACAACCACAAAACTCCATAATCAACCCGCTAAACATTACTTGCACTAACCACCAACATGATATCTGTTATAGCTCAAACTCTTAAATATAGAGATATTATTAACTTTGGCATACATGCCTCAGGATTTTATCATGTTGTTGTAATTTTCTAGGAGGGTCACTCATCCCAAGATTTTTCTAGGATGAGTACGCTCAACTACAGAGTTTCTTACTAAAATTCCAACCATTGTACTAAAAAGTGTATCAATATTTAAGTGTTTAGCTTCTTTTACTTAATGGGTTTTACAATCTTCCAAACTTCAATAACTGGCATCCTCATCAGTATCCCTATCCTAGAATCATTCACCGTGCATATAAGATTCTAGAGGTTGCCACGATTTGGATTACAGTAGAGTCTTTGCTAGGAGATCTTATTTTATAAACAATTGTCAGATGCGTGTTTTAAAATGGACTCCATTTTTTGATGTGCATGAAGAATCGCCTATAGTTCCGATCTGGATTTCGTTCCCTAATTTGCGATCGCATATTTTTAACCCTCAAGTCTTGCATGCTATTGGTTCTATTTTTGGAAGGCCTTTGCAAACCGACCAGGCGACGGCCTCCAGGACTCGTCCGTCTGTAGCTCGGGTTCTTGTGGAAGTGGACATTTCTAAGAAGCATCCCAAAGAGGTTTGGGTTGGGTCAAAGGCTTTTGGGTATTTGCAAAAGGTTGAGTTCGAAAAGGTTTCTGAATTTTGTTCTCACTGTAAAATACATGGTCATGCGATGTCTGACTATTTTAGATTACATCCTGAACTTAAAATAAAAAGTTCGATTCAGGTTAACGATAAAGCGGACTCACCTATTAATGTTTCTGCTTCTGATAATGAGTTGGAAAAAGATGTTTCTAATGCAGGAGGTGATATTGTGGAGGAAATTGTGGCAGCATCTGATAATGAATTGGAAAAAGAAGTGTTAAATGCTGAGGGTGAGACGATGAAGGAAACGGTGCCAGATTTTAATGTGCCAGGTAACACTATAGTTTCGGAGGCTGGAAGGGCTGAAAATAATGTTGGTAATGTTCTTGAAAAATCCCCTGATTTATTTATTTCTATTGATTTTATATTACAAAATACTAGTCATGATCATTTAGTTCCCCCAGCTGCTACTTTAGTTCTCCGGCTGATACGGGGTCTCTAGATTTTGAGGCTGAGTATAGAGAAAATGGTGAAGAAGGGGAAATTTTACCTTCTAATGTTAAGAAAGGCAAAGCTGTACATAATGAAGTGGAAAAGGCCAATGGGTACAAAAACTCGAAAGATTATTCTTCTTTGTATAACGTGGGGGAAGAAAATTTTACTAAAGTTACCAAGAAAAAAGGTAAGAAGGCTAAGGAACCTTCTTCTTATTTGCAGGTTTCTAATAAACCCCATACTAAATCTAAAAGTTCTAATGGTTAAGTCTCTTATTTGGAACATTAGAGGCATTGGTGGGAATGATTCTATTATTAGAGTTAGAAATATTTGCAGGATTCACAATATTCAGCTTCTGATTATTATTGAGCCTTTAATTTGTATGTCTAAGCTTGATAAAACTACTTCTAAATTAGGCTTTACTAATAAGTTTGCTAATTGCTCCAATAAGATTTGGATTTTTTGGAACAATGTCATTACTATTACTATTCTGAATGATTTTACTCAAGTTGTTCATGTTTCTATTTCTATGTTTAATTTTGAGTGTAAGGCTTCCTTTATTTATGCTGCTTGTACTAGAGTAGGTCGTTTGAACCTGTGGAATCAATTAAAGGATTTTGCTGCTAACAGTCCTGGCCCGTGGTGTGTTGGTGGGGACTTCAATATTATATCTAATACATGTGAACGTTTGGGAGGTAATAGCCCTAATGTCCATGCTATGGATGATTTTAATGCTATGATTTCTACCTGTGGTTTACATGATTTAGGTTTTTTTGGTAATGCTTTTACTTGGAGTAGAGGCACTTTGTGGAAAAGACTTGATAGAATTCTGTTCAATAATGATTGGTTGGCTAAATATCAAATGACTCATGTCGAACACCTTAGTAGAACTGTTTCTGATCATGCGCCTTTATTGCTTACTATTAATGCTACTAATTCTTATATTCCTACTGCTTTTAAATTTCAAAATATGTGGTTATCTCATCATAATTTTATGAATGTGGTGGATACTAATTGGCTTGCTCCTATTTTCCCGAATGATGATATCTCGGGTATGGCTAAGTTGTGGAATAAACTTAGTAGATTGAAGCAAGTCTTGAGATGGTGGAACAAGAATGTTTTTAGAAATTTATTTTCTAATATTAAGCTTGCTGAAAATGAGGTTTTGGATCTTGAAAATGTTGTTATGCTGAATCCTGATAGTGCCAACATCTCTGAGCTCAATAATGCTAAAATCAAGTTATTAGAGTTACAAAATCAAGAAGAAACGTATTGGAAACAAAAAGCTTCTACTAAGTTTTTTGTTGAGGGTGACAGAAATACTAAGTTCTTCCACTCTTTAGCCAATAAGAAAAGAGTTAGAAATCATATTTTCAAAATTACTAATGCTAATGGGTGTATTTTGGAGGAGGAGGAGGCTATTTTACAGTCCGGGGTTGATCATTTTTACAATATTTTTAATAAGGAGATCAATCAGGAAGCAACTTTAAACCCTTATATTGTGCCTTGTGGTATTTTTGATACTGATAACTTATATCTTACTATGGTTCCTTCTGAGGATGAAGTGTGGAAGGTAATGCAGGCTATGAATGGTGATTCTGTTGCAGGACCTGATGGCTTTACTACTACTTTTTTCATTAAAACTTGGCATATAATAGAAAAGGATATTTTGGATGCTATTTGTGATTTCTTTTCTGGTAATCCTTATATTAAGTTTTTTTCTACTACTAATCTTGTTTTAATTCCTAAGAAGGAGGCTACCAACCACTAGAATGATTTTAGACCTATAAGTTTATGCTCTTTTCTTAATAAGCTTATCTCTAAGATTATCGCTACTAGACTTATTAATATTCTTCCTAGAATTATTTCTCAGAATCAAACTGGCTTTGTTAAAGGTAGGAGTATTTTTGATAATATTTTGCTGGCTCAAGAACATACACATGATATTAATACGAAAGCTCAAGGAGGTAATATCATTTTCAAATTGGACATTACTAAAGCTTATGATAATTTGTGTTGGAATTTCCTTTATAAAGTGCTTTCTCTATTTGGTTTTAGTGATAGATTTATTTCCCTTATTAAAAATAGCATTGAGCATTATTTTTTTCTGTCATCATTAATGGTAAAAGAAATGGTTTCTTTAATTCTAGTCAAGGGCTGCGTCAAGGTGACCCTCTGTCCCGGGCTTTATTTATAATTGCTGCTGACTATCTGTCTAGAAGTTTGGAATGGCTTTGTAAGAGACATCCTAATTTATTGTACCGGACGGGGGGTGGTATTCCCATTACTCATTTATGCTTTGCTGATGATTTTATTATTTTTACGAATAGTTTTTTGACTAATATTAAGCTTCTTACAAAGCATTTAAAGGAGTTTGAAAACATGAGTGGGCTTTCTATCAATAAGAACAAAAGTTCTTTTATTTTTTCTAAGTATGCTAGTCAAGGGAAGATTAATGATATTAAACAGGTATGTGGATTTAACTGCTCTACTTTGCCTTTCAAGTATTTGGGAGCACCTATTTTCAAGGGGCGTAAGAAAAGTGCTCTTTTTGAAGATATGGTGACGGTTTTCCATAATAAGATTACTAATTGGTCTACTAACTTTCTTTCATTTGGTGGTAGACTTGTTTTGATTAAAAGTGTTTTAAATTCAATTCCTATATTTATTTTCCATACTCTTAACCCTGCTTCTTCTACCTGTCTTAGATTGGAAAGACTT